TTTTCTTGAAAATGCGAAAACCGTCCTTTGAGCTTGGTGGGCGAAAGGGTGAGTGTGGCCAGATAATAGTACCAGTAATAGATGCGCTGGCATCCAAAGTTTATACATACTGAATTTCATTTTTCTAGCTCCAATAGTTCCCTAGATTTTAGCGATTTTAGTTTTTCGCGATAGAGTGGGCGTGGCAGGATGCTGAAATAAACCTGCGCTGTCCCGGGAGCTCAAGAATCTTCATGCTTAATCTCAACTTTGTATCTGCTATAGTTCCTGAGATCTCAGCGTTTATACGGACGGACGGACGGACGGACAGACGGACGGACAGACGGACATGGCCCAATCGACTTCGCTATTGATCCTGATTAAGAATATATATACTTTATGGGGTCGGAAACGCTCCCTTCTATCTGTTATATACTTTTCAACGAATCTAGTATACCCTTTTACTCTACGAGTAACGGGTATAAAAAATATTGTTTTAAGAAAAGTTAATTAGGCGAAATAGTGCAAGAATCAAAACAATTTTACATTTTGGTTCAGAAAATCGCACAATGAAAACAAAGTGAGTTGGCATATGATTTGGAAAGAATAACTTAAAGATATCACAGCTTGGGGAAAGGTACAAAAACTAGCACGAAGCTAGTTGATTGAATTTCTGTAGTATCTACATACCATATATATATGTATATACTAACTATGCCATATAGCTTTCGTTGACACTCCAGATTAGCTTGATAACTTTACAGCTAGTTAAGTATGGGCTTAAAATGTTTGCCTTTAACTGGGAAATGTTTGCCAAATAGTTTCCGGCTCTCCTCTGGTCCCACGGCTGTTGACCCTAAACTAACCATTAGCCACGCGCTTATCTAGACTTCCTGTCGTCCCAAATGCGATTTAGTGCGAACTCATCCGTTGGATGAATGGATCGATCGATCGATCAGTCAAGTGGCACTTATCCCCCGATGGCAAATGTGGGCTTCCTTGGCAATTACATTCATTCAGTGGGTGGTGGCTTGCACTGGTTGTCGACTCCCTTATCGGAGTGCCCGGAGTGAAGTGAAGTGATTTGCCCATGATTTGCGCCCGAAGTCTGTCGATTCTCTTGACGGCTCTCTGGGCTGAAATTCCGAATAAACATCTATATTTATTTAAACGGCCTGATGCCATTAAAGCCGAATCGTGGACGGGCACTATCTAGTTTTGCGGTCATTTAAATTGTACTGAGTTCATTATCGCCACAAGTCAATTTCCTTTAAGATTTCTTGATTACATTTTATGGTCTGATACTATTACGAACACACTTGTTTTTCACTTATCAAAGGAGCTTTGATTTATTCACTCAATTTAATCTGATCGAAAATTTTCCCATTAGCAATGTTTCACTGCAGATTCAAAAAGCAACGGATTTGGTTTTGATTTATTGATAATACTGATATTGACGTAGGAATACTTAATGCTATTCACTTTTTATTCATGATATGAATTTTTTGAAACATATCTTCTTACCTACTGACTTGTGGAACTACTTGTTGTTTTTACATTTTTTGTTTATATTCGTAGTAATACATTTCTAATTCCATCAAACTAAACTTAGCCGCGAGCAGAAGGCCTTAGCTACTATTGCTCCTGGCCCTATATTAGCTCTTAGTTTTAAACTTATTGAGAGTAGTAGATAGTAGTAGTAGTAGTAGATCAATAAATAAATAAATTTCTTCAAAATCTGAATCTGTAGGTATTTATATCTGTCCTTCTTAGTCATAGGAAAATGATTAGCGGCAGGATCCTTTTGGCCAATGGCTAGCCCATTTTACCTGAAACGAAATGGCCTTTTCATTTAACGGAGGCTATTAAAAATTCAAAGCGTAACAGGCCTTCCTTTGCAAATTATAAAGCAAATATTCGAGCTTATTTTAATTAATATAGTACCTTCAAGAAGTCAGCTACACATTTCCATTGTCTGAATATTGTAATTCATTTGAGTTCAGGCAAACGCCAACATTCAAGTACAATGGCATGTTCTCTAACCATTATTACCGACTTGGCACTAACGAATTTGCCAATTCATGATCTTGATCTTAATGTGAGCACTATCATTAGCCATAATCGGCTTGCATAATGGTGATCGGAGGTGGGGAAAGAAGGGGTTAAATTTGTAATCGATCGATAAACGGTAGCACGGTAGGGCATGTGCATGTGATTCCCAAATTCCTCGGAAATGTAAATCTCATCCCAAAACCCAGAGCCACAGAGATCTATAAATACGATACCCACATTCGATGTGATTAATATGCTTACTTAGTGTTTGGTTATTCCGAGTCGAGATTTTCGCTAGAACTATGAAAAGAAATATGTAGGTCCCATGACGTTGGACGTTGGGCGTTTGCTGCACCAAAATCACCGATCGAATTTGGGAAGTGCCAGCCAGCCAGGGGGACTTTTCGCCGAGCCATAATTGTCCACAGGGGCTAGTAATTACAGTCGTTTTCCGACAGCCCCTTTTTCTTGTTGTCTATCTTGAGTTCGAGCATTACTATCTATTTATTTATATTCACTTGTATGTGTACAGGTACTCGGTATTGTTTTTTTTTGTTTTTTTTATTTTGTGTTTGTTCATATTGCCGCCGCAAACAAGTTCCTCTGTCAACGTAAGACAACACCATGCAACACGGATCGAAAACCTTTAAGCTTCTTTGGTTTTAAGAAACATAAGAGATCATCCCCATTTTGAGATTCATAGCAAAGAGGTGATTACCTTTTTCAGATCAATGATAGGTAACTAAACTATAACATACTATTTTAATCGTTCTAATAAAATACCTTTAGAGTTTAAACTTTTTCAAATTGTTGATATGTTTTTGGCGTAACCTTTTTCCATAAGCCTCCTGTTCATGTATTTTTCCACTTCCTTTTCATGTCATGGTCATTCGCTTAATACTCATATGATCCCTCTTAAAACAGAAGATATATCAGGGTGAGTTTTATTCATATCATTTATTATTAAACAATCTTATTAAGTCACCCAATCTTAATTAATTGTGCAAGCAAAACATTTTACATCAAATTTAGTAATCACTGTTTTAACACTATACAAATATTCCATGTACAATGCATCAATGGGAATATATTCTAAACTTGTTTTGTACTGCAACAAGAGTACGTTAATATTAAGCATAGTAGACAAGTGCTCTTTTGTTGCTTAATTTACTGTTTAATAATACTAATAATAATAATTAATAGTTATATTTAAAAGAAAATGCCGCTTTTTGCGTTTTTGTAGCTAGTTTAACATCGTCCATCTTTATATAATAATATTTAATTAGTTTCATTTCACCGATTCTAGCGCTTTATTCAAAAGAAATCACAATTAGATGGATCTTTACCGTAGGAAGTTTATACGTAATTAAATGCCAACTGAAAAACCATCCACATGGCCAAAATTGACTTTTCTAAATGCTAGTTATACTAGTCACTCTCATAGCGAAAGAGAACACAACAGGCAGATTTAGGAAATATATATTTGTGGTTCGGATCAGTAGCCGAGTTGATATAGCCATGCCTGTCTGTAAGTCCCTAATGTAATATAATAAGCGCAATAACTTTAGGTCTAAGCACGTAGATTATGGAGATACCTATACAGAGCAAGTGTAATTTAACATACGACCACGCCCACTCGAATGCCCATAAACCAAGAAATTATGTGGTGTGTGTGGGGGTATTAATGAAAAAACTTTGTTTTAAACTTTAAATATTCCAATACCATGGACACCCCAAAACTTTTCAAATTAGATAATTATTTTAAAATTTAATAAAAAATTTAGCTTATAAGGCCCTCCGCTTGCTGAGGAGATATAAGAATATTATCCTTACTTTCAGGTTCTGCTAATATATGGCTGTGTAATAAATTACGTACTCTATCCCTAACATATTTATTTCAATGTTAACGGATTAGTTAAACAAAGTAACGAGTATCTGACAGTCGCTAATTATGATCCAATAAAATTACTATACAAATATTTTGTGACCTGTTTTAAAACCGATTTAAGTTTCTATGTTTAAGTACCTATTTTCAATGGTATTACCGAAAGGTACATATATTGGGGAAATTTATCAATGCAGTTTTGTTTATTCTCCAATAATATATTTTCAGAAATAATCTCATTGAATTATATCAGATTCGTCGATATGTCTCATTTTGTACTCACTTTATGACCCAAGTTTTGTTGGATAGTGCTGCTTAACAATTATTTCATTGCCATCGGACAACTGACGGCAAACCAAAACATCGCATTTGCCAGACAATTTGACAGCACTTTTCGCATTGATTCGAGTTTTCATTTGTACCGCCATTAGAATGCACTGCTGTTTTAAGCCTACATATTTTTTCGGCCCTCGTTTTAAGGTAATTGGAACAAAGAAAAAAACACATCGATTATTGATTACAAAACAGGCGGAAAGCCTTGGCTGCTTGGTGTGCCGCATTTTATCGAATCGATGGGCGGGCCCTGAGGTCTGGGCCTTCCCATTGTTGCTGATTTAGCCCTGAACGAGTGCTTTCGGCCGTCAGCGCACAAATTTCCCCCATTTCCGCAAGCCTCGACTTTGACTGGGCTTTCGACTCGACTCGAGATTGGGTTTTCCAATGCATTTCTTAAGCGTTGTGCTGCACTCAAAGAAACGTTTTCCACGAATCTTTAGGGGATTTTTTTGGTTTCGAACTGTCCCGAGAAAATCATATTTTTTAAGTCTAAATGCCAATTCGATGTATTTTGTTGATTGTAATTTTTTTAATTTTTAATTACTAAAAGCATACATGATTCTTTAAGTGTTTAAGCTCCGAACTAGCAACTGCCAACAAGTTCAATAAACTTGTTTGTCTGCTGAGCTCGGATCGGATCGGTTCAGGCTTGGGCTTTGGTCCGTAATACTCGTAGACACGTTCTACGACTGCGACTATGGTTAAATGCATTCAGATGCAGTGCCAAGCTAGCTTATTAGTCGGCCAAGACCTTTCTTCTCGACGGGACGCGCCATATACGCTTGTGGTTGTGGATGTGAATTTAACCCACTGGGCTTGAGTGCAGGGAGTATGTAAGATCGCCCAATGTTTGCTTACGTTATTTGCTTTTTTCCCGCCGCGATTGTCTGTCGTGTTTTCATTTTCCACCTAAAGATTGCAGGTGGAAAACAATTAAACAATTATGAAGCTTATGTCGCGCGATGTTGCTGCTATGCAGGTGCCACAATTCTTGGCACGCAATAAAAAATACGAGAAATACAACTCCGAAACAATGGCCGATGGATAAAAGTGAACCAAGGGTTGCTGGAGCAACGAGTTCATCTGGAAAATCAGGTCAAGAGGCTTCGCCCACTGTGTCTGGGACTTGATCAACAAAACGGCACCAAAATAGTAATAAAACCCAGTGAAAATAAAACAGAAAATAATGACTGACATTGGTAATTCATTTACTGGCCGGTGGGTGTAAACTAGATAAGGCTCTAGAGTCTAGACTCAGGCGCAGAGCTCGCCCTTCCTCAAGATATAGAAACCCCCCGTCCGGGAATCATAAAACAATCACTGAAAGCCAGACAAACATAAACAAGTCATCAGCCAAATAGCATTTATTTCGGCCCACCAATGGTAGTGTTTTCCAGCCAAACAAAATAACAAATCCGAAGAAACAATCAACAATGTTGTATAAATTTGCCAATCAAAATCGAGCAGTGGCATCCAACTTAATTGCCCTAACGGCTGTATAATTGATTATCTGACCACGAATAAGAATGGAATGTTTTTGTTCTTCACGTGCGTTTCGTGCGAACTGCAGAAATTATAATGAAATCATAATGCCGGGAACTAGCAGTGAGCAACAATCCAATAAAAGCTATCATAAAAAGCGTTAGATGATTCCACTTCCACGGAAAGCTAGATACTAAAATGCCATTTTCCATTTTTTTTTTCAAACATATATTTAAGTATAACCATAATATTGGCAAGTTGACCCATAAAATTATTAGTTTGGAGTAATTCGCAGTTTAGTTAAATAAATATTTTTGATATCTCTGCTGGTTTAGTAGCAGTATCAAATATAAACTTCGATTTTTTCTTGCACGAAATAAGCTTGGATCCACTGTAAGTATTTAGTTTGCAACAAAAGATGATGGAGTTAATCACCACGAAAATGATACTGTAAAAGAATAATTCTCCACTAAGTTTATCAGCTTTAGTTACACTTTGGAACGGAGTCAATAAACATCTCCGAATCGATCCAAACGGAACAGACATGCCCAAATCGAATAGGCGATTGATCCTTATTAAGAATACATGTATCTACATATTTACGTTGTAGGATCGGAATCGTTTAATTTTTCTTTTTAAAAAATTTTCATCAAATAGGTAGGTATTTAACCTTCTTTTAAGGTTGCAAATATGCGATCGAAAAAACAATAGGGAAATTAAGAAAACTTCATAGTGGTTTTGCATAGAGAAGTACCATCTAATTATTTTCAATCGAGGTACGAACTAAAGTCATGATACAGCCGAGTATTTCAAATAAATTATCACATTACTCTATTAGTGAAAAATTTACAAAATAAGAACTGATGATATATTGTTTTTCTACTTATCTTAACAAAATAACAAACAAAACAATTATCTATAGTAACAAACTAAAATGTCAAATATAGTGTCTAAAAATGAATATATGTACGAGTATATATATAATGTATATACATATAAGGGCACCTTCTTAAAATGTATCATATGGCAAAGATCTTTCTAATTTAGAGTGACCTTAAGCTTACGTTTCATACATATGTATGTATGTAAGTAACAATATAATATGACCTCTTTACTGCAACTGTTTGGGATTCTTTTCAAAAAGTACAATAAAGCCTCAACGCCATTCCATACTCTCTATGGGCTAATACTGCATATACCCCTCTCGAGATCCTAATGAACATTTGATTAATTACCTCCTCTTGGGTTGTCTTTCCAGCAGCATTAGCTAACGGGAGCAGTTTTCTTGAGGTCTCGCTGCGGTACTTTGACGAGCAGCTTTTGGTGGATATCCTGCCGCGCGCCACCTGCCCTGGTGAGGATGAGGGATCTCCGATGGATGAGTTCGCAGACCTGTTTACGGGTAAGTTAGTTCCGGTTCGTGGGTAGATAGCCGTTATCCAAGGGTGATTCCGGACTGAGCTTGAACTTGTCCGTGGACTATGTCCGATGTCTTCGCCCAATGTCTTTCCTGCTTCGGCCTTATCAGTGGGAATAATAACGAGCAATTCAATGTCCAATAAATCAGGCCACACGAAAACTCCGTTCCCAGAGCCGTCATCATATACGAGTATAGTACACATCTCTTTATGGTGTATCACCGGAGTTACGGCTAATGGACACGAGACTGAGCACTTGTGGAACGCTTTCTTATCGCTAGCAATAGCAAATAGCACTTACAGCTCAGATGGCGATTTCTCCGAGAAACGGGTCTAGATTTTATTAGGAACCACGATAAGATTTCACCGCTTTTACCAACACAATGCCATTTTCCGAGTCTAAATTTAGGGAATGACTGGAATCGATTGAGTATCCCTATCTAATCCGCTGCCCGTTGCCAGGTGTACTAGATTGGATCTGTAAAGTATGCGGAAGCCCCTTTTGAGTGGGTGAAACGCGTTTGTGACCCACTATAAAGAAATATGTTTTTTTTTTGTATAACTTTAAAAGTATTAAATCAGTTAATAGAGGAAGTTGGTAGAGTGAAATAATCGGATCTAGAAACTGAAACGTTTATGCTAAGTCTACCTCAGTTGGAGACAATTTATTTGCTTAGGATTGGAAAACTACTTCTAAATAGAAGGAGGTTAAATGTCTATAACTATTATATTAACCAAATTATACAGGCCTGATACTTGACCTCATTTGATTTTGATATATTCTAGATATTCATCGTTTTAAGATCATATTTATAAACTCGTATGTTGTCTGGTGATGAATTCTTATACATTTCCTCCAATCTTCAGTGGAACAACTCCGCCAGGGATGGGTGGTCCTGCACGTATTTGCCGCGATTTACTTCTTTATCTTGCTGGCCATCATCTGCAACGACTACTTCCTACCTACGGTGGAGTGCATCTGCGAGGACTTGCACCTCTCGAAGGATGTAGCAGCAGCCACTTTCATGGCCACAGCCACCTCCATGCCCGAGTTTTTCACGAACACGATCAGTACGCTGATTCTGGAGTCAGATATGGGCCTAGGGACGATCATCGGTTCGTTGATGTTTAACACACTGGGCGTTGCCGGATTAGCCGCGCTGGCCATTGATAAGGTAAGTGGTAACTTAAGGAGAAGGACTATGATGTACCCGTTACCCAGCTAACTGAGTGAGTGTTTCGGGTGTCTTCAGCTGTATTGCATGAGCAGGTCATTGAGGGTTGACCGAATAATTTAATTTGCCCTTAATTTGCTATGAGTGTTTTGGGTGACTGTGCATTAGAATCATGTACATAGAATTGAGTGGGTGACAAAAACGCAAACACTCAAAACACACAAAGCGGTCTGTGCACTCGGATGTGTGCTCTTGCTGATCGTGATTTGGGTGCCGAAAAAAGACACCCTTGACGTTCTCTGGCTAATTATTATTATCTAATTATTTGGCAGCCGGTGCAGCTGGACTGGTGGCCAATAGCCCGGGATTGCTTCATCTACATCTTCAACACAATCATCCTGCTGGTCTTAGCCTGGGGCGGAAGCATTAGTTTCACAGAGTCCTGCATTATGATGGGATTCCTAGTGCTCTACTACCTGATCACGTTTAACAACAATAAGTTCATGCCGGCCATCCGGGTGTTTATCGAAGATCGAATGAACTGCTGCTTCTCAACACGATATGGTATGTTTGTCGTATTGGGAATATAGTATATGGTTATTAATACTTTAATTTGTATAACTCAGACCTAACGGAGCCCCCAGAGAACAGTGCCAAGGCCCAGCTGCCGCTCAAAAAAGATCCACTGTCTGGCGACGGCCTTTTTGTGGTAAATTTTCCGGAAAACACTTCGTCGATGTCCTCTACCGCCAACCTCACGCACTCCAAACATTGTACGATTTTTAGTAAACAATAATTTTCTATCTATATTATAATTGTCAATTTCCAGGGAATGGCGAGGACGATGAGGATGATGATATGCCCAAAAGCATATACGCCTACCCACATGATGCCTCCGGATGGATGAAGTTTTGGTGGATCTTTGTTTTTCCCATAAAGTTTACACTATCCCTGCTGATCCCACACCCAATCAAACACCGTCGCCTGTATCCATTATCCTTCATCATGTGCATCCTATGCATCGGCGGAAACGCCTATTTAATTGTCTGGATGCTGACTGCCTTCGGTGTGGCAATTCACGTGCCAACGATTGTGATGGGTCTTACCTTCTTGGCCGCTGGGTCCACCATGCCGGAAGCTGTCTCCAGTCTTATTTCGTTAAGAAATGGTAAGTGTTCTTTAGTTTCCGCGTTCTCGAACTATCATGCCTAATATGTCTTTCTCTCATTTCTTAACTATATTTCTATATTTCTTAACTGTAAGAAGTGTCTACTTCTTGTGTTTAGTACTTCTAAAAATATATATAGGAACTATTAATTATTAGTAAACGCATCCCCAACCCATGATACAACTCATATAATCCTAATTCGGCATTTTACTAGATTGCTATATCTGTTTTTCTTTTAATTAAATATTGCAAACTATTTTACTTTCAGGTGAAAACGGCATAGGCGTTTCGAATTCCTTGGGCGCCAATTCGTTGGCCATCTTGCTCTCTCTGGGAGTACCGTGGTTCATCAAGAACTGCATCAACTACAGCACCGGGGAGCCACAGCAAGTGGGCACCCAGGGCATTGAGTACAACATCCTGATCTTAATTGTCTCCACGGTGGCGCTGTTTGTTGTCCTCAGCTTCAGCGGATATCGACTTACCAAGCGGGTGGGCGTGGCCCTCTTTACTATCTACGGAGTGTTCATCGTTCTGCAGATCCTTATCGAGATGAATGTGTTTTTCCCCAGAGACTGTAGTAGCTAGTGATGGACCTGGATCTCGAAGCCCAGATATGCGGGAAAAACCACCGCTAGACAATCCTTTTGGTGCTGGCACTAATAGATTATTAGCACCGCAACCCACTTACAGGAACTGAACTATTCGAACTATTTTTGGACAAATCTACTAGAGTTTGAATAATTGAATTGATAATTACAAATGTACCTGTACTTTGTAATTATCGAGCACTATTTAGTAGTACATACCCTTCATTTTTGTTACCGTAATTTACGCTTTGATTATTGCCTAAGACTGTCTTTAGGTTTACGAAGCTTCCATAAGCGATTTCTATTTATTTCACGTTGTATATGTTGTCTTTATGATTATGTGTATATCTCGTAGCCTAGTTATATCCACAAATGTTTGAACCGTTACCAAAGCCCAGAACGCGATACTAGCTATTAAGAGAACGATATACATGTACATATATCTAGAAGTGACCTCGATATTCCCCCATCCTGCCCAAGGACGCTTAAGAGTAAAGCAAAAAATTCGCAAACCACACACAAAAACCTTCCGTTGATATTACGCGTTTTCATGTATGTCTAGCGCTGTAAGAACTTTTTGTTAACGTTATCTAATACCCTTGATACCATTGTTATTAATTTATAAATATACCCTAAGGTAAATGTTACTGAATCTGCCTTTCATTTTGTATTATCTATGATACATGTGTCTGCTCGAGGGCGCAATGATAAGCTGATTGGATCCTGAAAGCCGAAAAAATATTAAACGAATAGGGATAGCAGTTTGTCGTTACGTTTTAGTTTCATATGCTTTTCAGAAGGATTTACAAGCCATTGGAAAAGTATTGGAATCTTGAAGTTACATCACAAATAATATCATTAAATGAGATCAAATACACTATAATATGCAGGAATAAAAAATACGAGAGAAAATAGTGTATATCTTGGTGTGTACATAATTCATCTTATAGATAAATGTTTATATATATAAATAAATATATTTATATATATAGGGGTTTCTTTATCTTTCACCCGGACTGCATATAATTGATAGTTTTTTAAGGGCTTCCGATTTTTGTTTGCACACAATGTGGCGGCAAGTATCTATTTTCTTGGGGATCGCTTACACAAATAAAAACTTAAGTTTAATTGCCTGGTATCATATCCAGTTTTCTTTCCACAAATACGCATAATACATTTGGTAAGTCAACAAATGCACACAACATCTATAGATATTAAGTTTTTGAAACTTGTCAGGGGCTGCTGCGTATCTGTGTGCGAACTTAATCCTGCCCGACCTTCTCCTTCACCGCTTTCTCGTATTCCATAAACAAATCAGTCTGAGCAATTACAATTCAAATGTGCTTGCAGCTTTTAGCTGCCCCCTAACAACCTGCCGAACCAATTGGCATAAACCTCAAGCGACATATTTCCGCATACGGATAGGAGTGCTTTGCAAATGGTAACTAAAGTCGGCATGTGTATAACAAACCATCCTGTCTCTTCGACATGGACAGTATCTTGTCGGAATGACCATTTTTGATTAGGTGCAGCAATGGTGTCCATTCTTAACGTAGTAATTGTGCATTGCTACGGTGCCATTCTTGCTGTAGCTTCCGCTGCCATTGTACTGCATGTTGGACGTGGAACTTCCAGTTCCGGAGCCACCTATCGGATTGGGTGCTTCGTCGGTGCTGGTAGAGGCGTCGAAGGCATTGATGGGATTCTGGATGATTTTGCACGTGAATGGGCGATGGGGACCAGGTTCCTGCCGAGGAAAAACATGTCTAGCGTTTACTACATCTACAGATTGCCTTACGAAATTACCTTTGGTTGTATGGGAAAGCAGCACCACAAGATGAAAGCTATAAATGCCACCAAAGTGCCCACCAGCAATATGAAGTCCTCAATGGTCTGCACAAGGTATACAAGGTACAAGGTGTCAATGTCTTGTGATTGATGAGGATCGGCGGTATGAAGCTCACTTACCGGCTCCTCACCCAGCAGCACATGATTAATCAGATAGACAAAGTCATCAAAAGGTGTCATCGTAGCTATCCAGGTGCAGATTCAACGAACACGGCTTTTTCTTGCACTTCGTTGTGCGATTGGCGACTGCAACAGCTGCTAATTACGAACGCTGCTGCAAGCCGCACAACAGCATGGCGGTCCGGAGGATTACACTACAATTATCATGGCATGGCCCCTTAAATTTCGCTCGATTTTTGCACAGCTTTTCCGCTGTGTGACCAGGTGCGGCCAAATAAAAGAAACTCATTGTTGATTTCCTAACGCGAAACAAATAAGGCATGCCTGTCAAAAAAATATCGTAATAAAAGTTCGTCAAAATAGCAACATTACGTTAGGAAAAAAAACGGAACGGTGGAATTTAGTGGAGTTTATAATAGGCTTGCTTTCATGGGAGTACTACATAATAGAGAGGGAAAACAGAAAAGTAGAAGAGAAATTCTTTCCTTAAGTAACCATAATTTTCAAAAGTTGTCTTATGGTCCCACTGATGTAAGTATGCCAATTATTGAATATAAGAATATCCATAAAATAACTTACATATTGCATACATATGGAATCGATATTGAGGCATCGATGCAGTTTTGTAAGAGCGCTCATTTTATGTTTTCATTGCGGTATTTTCTTACTTTGGTCACATTCATTCAAACAGCTGATAGTATAAAAAAAAGAGAGCCATGTTTTAATTTGTTTTTCGTAAAAATAGTTCATTGCATTTTAAAAGTTAGCGCACCAGCTGAAATGGGCAAAATACGAAGTCGGGATCGAGATCAGGAACTGCATTCCTCCGGTGATGAAGGGGTAACCAAAGCAAGCGAAAGCATCTCATCCAGATCGAAGAAAACCAAGCGAAAGGATACAAGCTCTTCTTCCAGTTCATCGGAATCCTCCCCCGAAAACAAGAAAAATAATCGAATTAGCCGCTCTCCTGGCAGAAAGATGCCAAAGGTCGGCAGGAAATCCCCGGATCCACAGGAGAAACGCTCCAGACACACATCCAAGCCCTCTGATGACGTACAGGAACAGCGCTCTAAGTGGGACAGTCCAGAACGTAGCAGCTCCCACCGCAGCAGCGCAAGGCATCGCAGACACAGCCGGAGTCGCTCCAGGGATCGTGGCGAGCGGGACAGAGACAGGGAGCGGGATCGAGACCGTGAACGTAACAATCACATGCATCGCAGCGGACGTGACTGGGATCGCAGTAAGGAGCAGCGGACACGATCCCCAGGACCGCAGCAGAGTTTTCGCAGCAACGAACGCAAGGATCGCGAGCGGGAACGACAGCGGAGATCGCCAGAAAGAAGGCCAGTTCGGTAGGTCTTAAAATATATGTAAATACCAAGTTGGTTATATCATTACTAAACTTTATTTTCTTTCATTCCCAGACGCAGTCAAAGTCCACGCGATCGCTCCCATCGTGCATTTGGCCAAGGACGCCATAGACCTCAGCGCCGGGATAACCGCAACAGGAAAGAAGACGAGCAATACGAATGGGGCAAGCAAGGTAACGAAAAAACTAAAATCGAGGGCGAGGAGCCTGTGGATATAGAAAAGCCCAACTTTGGGCTAAGTGGCGCTCTTACCGAGGACACAAACAAGGTGAACGGCGTTGTGGTCAAATACTCAGAGCCACCAGAGGCCCGCAAACCGAAGCGGCGCTGGCGATTGTACCCGTTCAAGGGCGAAACGGCTTTGCCTACACTGCATATTCATCGACAGAGCTGCTTCCTGGTTGGACGAGATCGTAAGGTGGTTGACCTAGCAGTAGATCATCCCAGTTGCTCCAAACAACATGCCGCCCTGCAGTATCGACTAGTGCCCTTCGAGCGGGAGGATGGTAGTAACGGAAAAAGAGTTCGTTTGTACCTCATCGATCTGGAGTCGGCCAATGGCACATTTCTCAACAACAAGAAGATCGATGGCAGGAAATACTACGAGCTTATAGAGAAGGACGTGATTAAGTTCGGCTTTAGTTCGCGCGAATATGTGCTGTTGCACGAAAACAGCAAAGAAGACCAGGAGGACGACGATGTACATATCAAAGATGAACCGCAAGATGTGCCAGCTGAAGTGCACAATCCCTGAATAGCATTCGTGTCAGTTTGATTGTCTGTTTAATTTTTTAAGCTTCAAATTCAAGCCCCAAACCTTGGGCGACTAAAGATATGTAAAAAAAAAAAATTAAGAAGCAATGGTTTTTAAGTCATTGCCAACACAAAAATAAATTCCCCCTCAAAGTTTTTGTCTTGTTTCTGTAAAGAAATATGAGGTCAGACGAGAAGTGCTTACTAGGGTAATCTATGGCGACTAGGTCTACAGCGTTTCAGTTTTCAATTATTGGCTGTCACGATGAGATGGCAGTTGGCGATCTTGTGGCTTTTCTTTTTCGCTTCTGCGGAATCAGATATAAAGCGGCGACGTCAAATTGTGACACCTAAGCACTTAATGGAAACCCGTTTTCAACCCATCCAGCAAGGGAAGGTGATGGTCACCCCCCAGAACCTGAGAGAAGTGTCTGATCTGAGGGCCACGATCCACAAATCTGTCGATGAAGGAACTTATGTGGTGGCTTCTTCGCCTTCCCAGGTAAGTCAACTAAGCTATTGATTGCTATGTTGGTTAGAAACACAGAATTTAATAAAGATTAAATGTTGTTTATTTTAAAACCTATCTGAAAGCCATACATAGACATATTTGATGGTTACACATCCTGAAAATGACACTTAATTATGGTGAATTAATTCTATTATTGGTCAGTATTATTTTAAACTTAAGTTAATCACTATTTTATCCGTTAGAATGGTCAGCCAATTTAAGTACGCTGAATATATTCGTAGAAAAACTTAACTTTTCATAATTAATTGTATTTCAAAACTCCTGTTGACCTGTGCTAAGGTCTAAAAATTCGAATTAATATTTATCGTACGGATGTTATGGCTGGGTTTAATTTCTTAACAGAAATAAAATTTAAAAAAAACATACTTTTCAAAGCTTGAAATCGGGTTCAACAACATATTTGATAAATAAAATTTAATTTAATTGTCCACAGAATGCAATCAGAATTTACTTTTTAAATTTATCTGCGGTCTGCGGAAAGTATCTGTGCTATCCACATTAGTAATATGTTCATATCCACAAAACCCCAGGATTTTCTACCCCGATATGGTGGCGGTTGGCCGGCGCGTTTAACCTTACCACACCCCTGGATACCGCCAGCCTTTAACTTCTCCATATTTTGGCTGAGACTCGGCTAACAGACCTACAACTTAACGACATTTAGCTCGTAGTATAATCAGCATCAGCGATCGAAGAGATGCGGAAATCGCAGGGCCTTTGAACCGCGCCGCTTGAGGAACTGAAAGGAGTGAGATCAAATAGTAGCCTTGTAGATCTTGTGATTAATAAAACGAACGCCGAGCAGTACTTAGCAGATTCTCTAATTTTTATTGTTCTTCCAATCGACATCAAATCGTGGAGCTAATCGTGTGGAGAGTAAGTGGGATGTCATTGGAGGTAAACTACAGAACGTCTGTCTTTGTCATAAATTGATTTCAAACGTCCTTGTCCTGTACAAAATGCCATCTTAAACCACTAACTATACAATAAGATTTACCTCTATCTGTACTAAATCAAAAAAATCGCTGAAATATATATATATATATTTATACTATTGAATAGATGTGTCTTTCTAGGTATGGGATCACAAATCAAAATGAATGTCATATAAGTTATTTATGGCGACAATAACAATAGTGTATGTATGGTGTACAATAGGCCTTAAACTTGTCATCAGTATATATGTTTTAAATATCGTATTTAGTAGCTGAATACATATATTAGGCTTAGGCGCTATATAGTATATCAATATATAGCCATTGATTAAAAACACTTTTTTACGTGCAGCTTTATAAGTTTTGTTCCCTTTGCAATGAAAAACTAATGCCAAAGAATTTTCAATGACATGTTTAGAAATGAAATAAACTTAAGAATAAAGATTATCTCGACTATTTGGCTATTCAGCACTTTGATTTTTATTAAAGGCCGATCCCAGAAACTTTAATTTTACCTCTAGCTTTTTTTTAACGTAATTTACGGTCGGTTTTACTTCTGTCTCAATTCAAATAAAAAAAAAAATTAAATGGAAATTTTGACTAATGATAGAAATTAAACATTAACGTTGATGAAAATACTTATTGCCAACATTTGTATTTTCATTACCAAAAAGAAACGATATAGCCAAGTGCCACAAATATGACATACCAGGTTCTATGTTAATTTTAAAGGAAAACTCAATCTCTAATTTTAATAAAGTTATTTGTTGGTAAATCAATGCACTAATGCCCATATGCGAACAGGCGATTAGTAAACATTAAGTATATAAGCGCCACTTTCCTTTTACGCTAAGACTAATAGGTATAATATATAATATGTGAAATGTATAAATCTTTTTATATCAAAATCATTAACACTTTACACCTAAATCCAGTAAATACGGGATATTTTAACTTCAGAAATGAGTTCAAATGAGTGAAGTATTTTCGTTTTGAGTAATAAATTGCACTACTTTTAATGAAATATTAGGTACAACAATTAATCAAATTATAAAGCTAATCTAAAGATAACATTTTGTTTTTGCTCTATTTAAATGACAAAAAAATAATAAAAAAAAAGATATCGCAATGAACTTTTAACAGTCATGGTCTAACATGAATAACTGCGGAGAGCTTAATTAGTATGCAAGCATACGGACATAGAGGAGGCGGACTGGTGTAATTGATTAATATCAAATATAAACTACTGGGCTTCGAAAAATTAAAGTTAAATGCAATTAGATTGTTTTGATACATAGCTTGTACAGTAGTTAAAGTTTCTAGCTCTGCATGGGTTGGCTCTTACTAGGTATTAGTTCAGTTTAGCTTAAGTGATAAGGCAATCTATCTAAAAAATGTTCTAGCTGAAACAGCGGATCTACGGCACAACGTCTATGTGAAATTTTCTGCAGATGTTGGTTATGGCTCCAGGTCAGGTCACAGTCCGTCAACAATAGTTGGAGTTACGACTCACGATCATTATATGCTAACACAACGGGTGGCTGGTAGTATGCCCGCATGATGCTTAACAATTAAAAAGCAGTTCTAAATACACGGATGTAGAATGAGCTAAGCGGCAGGGCCATCTAAAGCGAATCCGATTGTCACTGCTGGTCGGATGGTGATGACGTGGATGTGGTTGTTACTTCTTGGCCACCCGGCTGGATATCTTTTTGCGACTGTTCCAGCTCCTGCTGGTGATGTTTGGGCCGCTGCTGATGGAGATGTTCGGAATGGGCGTGGGATCATACAGGGGGAGATCATATTTAGGTCTTATCTAACCTCATCAATATCCTCTCCGTCCGACGAGCTGCGTATGGTGTTGTATTGAGAGTTTCGGCTGCGCAGCATTCGCAAGAAGCTGCCCACTGCAAAGATAGTGCGACGATGACGATGGAATATACCCTGGTATAAGGCCTCTCGTAAAGTCTTCCTGTCTTCTACGTCCACCGATGACGTGATCGAAGTCTGATGCGGCAAACGTGCTGGGAATACACAAACAATAAAGAAAACACATTTTTATTCAGGGCCGTAAGCCCTGGTCAGAATTCGACCTACAATCAGTCAAGTATAATAATCAAAATGCGATAAGAATAGTTCTCCGAGGGGAATCGACCTGGTGGTCATACTGCAGGCGCACCATAAAAAAAGTTCTGCGACTGTAAGGTGCCTTAGCCATTTTAAAAATAAGAATGTCATGCGCAATTACGACTATCTTGTTTAGGCAATTTTTAAACTGGCAGTGACATCAATAACCGTAGTCCTTCAATCTGAATTTCTAATTAGCTTCTTCACACATCATTCGTACAGTGAAGTGATATGATGTATTTGTTGACACATTTTGTATTTGTTTGTAAAAGGTAGAAGGAAGCTTTTACGGCCTAATACGGTAAATACATTCGTAATCAGGACCAATAGCCAATTGACTTAATATAGCCATGCCCGTCAGTCTTTATGAATGGTTCGATCTTGGGAACTATAGGTAATAAAAAATTGCTATTTAGCATGCATATTCTAGAGATTCCACCGTAGCTCAAGCGGCCGGCTACGCCCACTCTTCCGCCCATAAGCCGCGAAAAACGTTTGCGTATGTCTAAAAGAACGCTGAGATCTCAGATCTCTATAAGTGATAGAATTTAGTTAGACATGAATATTCTAGAGATGCTGCGGAAATCTTTAGAGTCCATAATATTAAGGTTTTCACCTCACTGTTTTCACCGTCAGTTAGCAAAAGTCCCTTAAGAGAGTAACTGGTATCTGATGGTCACAGCTCTACACTATGGCTATTCTTCTTGTTATAAATATGTTAACATTGATTTACTGACAAAAGAAACTTAATAAGTCTTCAAAATGTAATGCGACCATTTTACTTTACAGTAACTGCTTGAGATTTTTATTTATTCAAGATTTATAAAATTAAGAGTTAGAGAGTTACTTAAAATCATTACTGTTATTTTCAGGCCAGTTAATTTTAAGCTGTAGGGTAAATTGCGGGCTTTCAAGCAAACAACGTTTTTATACCCGTTACTCGTAGATTAAGAGGGTATACTAGACTCGTTGAAAAGTATGTAACAGGTAGAAGGAAGCGTTTCCGACCCTATAATATTCTTGACCAGTATCAATAGCGAAGTCGATTAAGCCATGTCCATCTGTCCATCCGTGTGAACGCTGAGATCAAGCATGAAGATTCTTGAGGTCCATACGCAGCGCAATTTTTTTTTAGCATCCTGCCACGCCAACTCTAACGCCCACAAATCACGAAAAACCAAAATTGCTGAAATCTCACGAACTATTAATGCTAGAAATCAAAGAATGAAATTCAGTATGTATAATCTTGAGGTGCCAGCGCATCTTATGGTGGTACCATTATACGACCACACCTACTCATACGCCCAACAAGCTCGAAAGACGGTTTTCGCATTTTGTATAAAAGCTGATATCTCGGTAACTATAAGTGATAGAAAAGTATGTAGGTTTTTAAAATGCCCAAAATGCGAATCTATATTTTTTTTCTAGCCACGCCCACCATAACACCCACAATATCCGGAAAACCAAAAAAAAAAAAAAAAAAACTCAGGAAATATAAGAGCTAGAAAGTTGTGCTTAAGAATACGTACAAATTTAAGGCACGGGTTTTCAAACCGCGAAAAACTGTGGCGTCCATAATTTTTGTCAATATCTATCGATTTAGCACCGATTTTTCAAATCGGAACACTATTTTGCTATTTATGCAGAAATGTAGGTTATAAGGCCTCACATGGACTGTGACGTCACAATCAGTTATTCAACATGCTTTCTCTGACAATAGGTGGCGCTTTATAAATTTCCACTAGCCAAATTTATATTTTAAAATTGTGTAAAACGGGTATCTTAAAGTCGCGGCACACGACCATAGCGTTTCTCCTTGTTATAATTTAAAGTGATTTATTTTTTTGGGGTAAAGCACAATTATAATGAATTTTAAGTAATCACGACCTTTCTTTTATGAGCTTTAGGATGACTAATAAAATGTAGTCACCCATAGTTTATAAAAAGGATAAGAGCGAAACCTAATATTAATCAGTTTTGATCTTTCCTATAAAAACTATCGACTATCTCTTGTTTGTTAAGCGCCTCATTAAGGTTTTAATGATTTTTAAAGCTGCGATAAGCAAAAAAAACGAATGATTGCTTCGTTTAATCATATAATCAACAGATATACAAACCGGATATTGGTGACTTTGGCGATTTAAGTGAGAACTCGTCGATGTTCTTGCTGCCAAGATCTAGTTTAAGAACCTTCCTTGTCAGTTGCTGCGTTGCCGCTTCCATGTTGCTGGTTTTATCTATCTTGATATCCACGTTCCGCTGACTGACGGCGCTCTTGGTGACCGCCGCTTCCGACCCAGTCGTTTTTTCTTTTGTCGCAGCGATCCCTTTGGCCGCATCCGTCATGTTGTTATTGATGATGTTGCTTATGCTGTGACAGCTATTCTTTTCCTCTAACACCTGCTGACAATTTTCCTTATTTTCGTTTGGATTATACAGACGGCATTCACTGTCCTCCAGTGCCTCTTTTTTAGTCGTTGTTATTTTGGTGTTCTTATCAGTATGATTGTTATTGACCGCTGTTGCTTGTATAGCGCCAACCGATGGTGGAGACTCAGCGGTACCGCTTACGATACCACAGCTGTCGCCGCTCCCGCTTTTGCTGCTGATGTTTTCAACGACGTCGGCAGCGGCAGCACCAACAACCATTGTTCGAGAGCGTTATCTATGCTATTTTGTTATTTTGCTATTCGTTTTCGGGTTTTAATATTTTTACTTAGCATTTAAACTATTTCCGCTGACGTGCGCAAGCCTTTGCAATCTGTTCCGTTCTATTGTAAATTTCGTTATCGCTTTGAGTTTGTTCGATTCGATTTCATTTGATTCTATTCGATTCAATTGTCGATTGTTTTCCTATGCATTGAGTCTACGTGGCTTTCAGGTTAAGGTTCGGTGGTCTGGCTTCGTTGGGAATCAGTAGTTTGACAATGTCAAAGCTGGCGTTGTATAGAGCCACCTGTTGAGCGGAACAGTCGGTAAGCGTAATCTGGGGCAGCGTTAACTTTGCTAGTTGCCTACCGCTACTGTTGTCGCTGATGCTCAGGTTGCTTAGATTGTCAATGATCTCATAGACACGTCGTTGGTCCGAGGATGAAAATGTGGCTTCGCTCGTTAATGTGGCGAGTATGACTTTGGATGTGGCTTCTGAGTCTTCTCCGGCTACTGATCCTGTTGCGCCGTCCGATTCTGTAATTGAACAGCCTTGGGCATGATAATCACACATGCTAGTCAGCCGCTCAGCTGTATCCTCTACGAGGGCCTTATAAGGGTCCAAGTCCTCCTCCTTCAGCTCTTGCTTCTCTCGCTTCACCGATCTAATATTCACCGAAATTCCCGGGTCGCCCACCTTTTCCTTGGCCGCCTTGCGTCGCAAACCCTTGAGCAGAGATACTAGTCGACCAGTCAGCTTTATACCCGGACTCTCTCCGCGCTGTGCTACGTCCAAGAATAGACCAGGCACCGGCCTTGTTGCGTTACGCTTCTGCTGTCCAATCGATTGCAGGTATTTGATGTTGGCCTGCAACCCTCTCTCGTAATAACCGCTAGCCAGTTGCAAATAGCCGTATAAGTCCACTGGCAGTTGCTGTTGTGGGCTTTCCGCTGGGCACCTATTAATATTTAGATTATAATCAAGACGTCCACTGTAGCTGGTTTGGCTTTTGTATGCGCGGGCCACTGGCACCTCATCACTGCTGCTGGTTTGGCAGGTGCTTCTCCATGGAATCCGGTGCACCAGATGACGCAGCTGCTCACAGCTGTGGGCGGTTTTTATGCGACGCACTGCGTCGTTGTAGGTTTCGTCGGGTGGCTCACCTGAGCACACTGTCCGTCGACCTCGGGACGCATAGGTAGTATCGTCGGATCTGTAATTAGTGAATGCACAAATTAGTAAGGGGATGGTCATATGCAGTATGGGCAAAAAATAGAATGGAATTAAACAAAAAATTAATTACAATGGCAAATGCAAACACAAACGACAAACAAGAGAACAAACAAGCGACCTTCACCTCGTTGCCCATTCCCGCAGCCGGATCTCAGCCCGTATTGGGGTAATATAATTAAAACAAAAATTAATACTGCAGTCGGGGTTGCGACTATAAGATACCCGTTACCCTGTAAAACATTTTTAAAATAATTACTCTAACAGATGTAGACACCACCTATTGTAAGAGGCACGCTTAATAACTGCTAATATAAGTTTAAATATATATATCGTGAAATAATTATTTAGTTTAAACCAACATTGATGGATCGATATAGGTATTTACCACCAATTTTTAAAGTCAAACCTATTAATACAAGAGCAGCCTGTAAGCATCCGAGGGGGCGATGCCAGCTGTTTAAGAAACTTGCAGTATGCAAGTAAACAACTAATCCCAAAGTTTCCATCTCTTGCAGTTCTCAAGATAAAATCTACTTGGATATTGATTCCGATCAAGAAAGTATGAACTGTATAGGGTCGAAAACGCTTCCTACTCTACGAAAACGAGTATAAACATAACTAAAGGAAAAATGGCAGTCGTATTTTAGCTGTTTATTTTGTTACTTCAGATAGCGTTTTAATTTTTTGGGTACACAAAACTCAAAAAGGCGGGTTTACCTAGATTGCTATCTCAAACATAATTGGGTATTGTATATGATGGGTTCGCTCAATTAAGGTTTTCTTGAGATGACAATTCAATTTAAGCAAATAAATAATAAATCTTTTAATTTCTACGGGTTGGCGTTCCTTTTCTTTTGTACAAAATATAAGGTTTGTATAAAAAAAACAAGAGGAAACGCTATAGTCGAGTGCCGCGACTATAAGATACACGTTACGGTTTTACACAATTTTAAAAAATTCATTTTCTTAGTGGAAATTTCCCATGCGCCACCTATTGTCGGAGAAAGCATGTCGAGTAACTGATAGTGACGTCACTGCCCATGCGAGGCCCTATAACCGAAATTTCTTCATAAGTAGCGAAATAATGTTCCTCTTTGAAAAATCTTTGGTAAATCGATAGATATTAACAGAAATATGTTATACAATTCGCATTTGGAGCATCATAAAAACCTACATGTTTAATGCGAACTTTCTATCTCTTATAGTTACCAAGATATCAGGTTTTCTTGAAAATGCGAAAACCGTCTTTTGAGCTTGGTGGGCGTATGGGTGGGTGTGGCCAGATAATAGTACCACTAAAAGCTGCGCTGGCATCCAAAGTTTATACACACTGAATTTCATACTTTCTAGCTAGTTCCCGAGATTTCAGCGATTTTAGATTTTCGCGATTTGTGGGCGTTAGAGTGGGCGTAGCAGGATGCTAAACTTGCGCTGTCCCGGACCCCAAGAATCTTCATGCTTAATCTCAACTTTGTATCTGCTATAGTTCCTGAGATTTCAGCGTTCATACGGACGGACGGACGGACAGACGGACATGGCTCAATCGACTCGCTATTGATCCTGATCAAGAATATATATACTTTATATTGTCGGAAACGCTTCCTTCTATCTGTTACATACTTAAGTCGTAATTCCTTAATTCGCCACAATAGTTCTGTTAGTTTCGTCAGTTTTCTTCTATTTATAATAAAAATTAAAATTTAAATGACATTTAACATCCCTAATCGTTAAGACATATAACTAAGTCAATTCCAGCTTAACTAACTGATGATGACGTCAAAGTAAAAGTGTTAAAAACTCCTGCCATAACAATATGGCAGGTTATGGACAATAACCACTTGTAACCAAACCTTGGAAAGTAGTGCACATGAGTTGGCCACACATCCCGAAATTGCATGTATCCTGGTGCTAATAAGCTGGATACTCGAAATTTGTCCACCATTGCTCTCCTCCTGCGGCGGCGGTGGTCAGAAAATCCGGATCCATATCCAGATCCAAGCTGCTGCTGTTGGAGGTGCTGCTGCAACTTATAATCCCTATAGTGATTGGCCATTTCATGACGATAGCGCTCAGGCCGAAAGCACTTGGTATTATATTTCTTTTTCATGGTCAAACGGGGAGTAAACTGACGGCCACTGCCCAGTGGCATTCCTACTACGACCAGGCCAACGGAGGAGTACATGTCTCAGGAATCCGGGAAAGGACACAAAAGAGCGCTCAACCGGTTCGAGACCAACTTGCTCGTCGGAGACAACGAAGCGAACTACATTGGTTGACATTGATAGCTCCTCCTTACGCCCACTTTTATTGGTAAATGATGAACAAGGGATGGCACATCTAAGTTGCCCTCCGATAGGTGCTTGAAATTATGTACATTTATTGAACAACTAAACAATACAAATTCTGTTGGCAACAACAGTTTGTGGTTATTTGTTATCACGTCAGGTCGCGATTTGTTGTCGTTTGTTCGACATCACAGTGGGGTAGGATAAGCTAAGAAAGACTGTATTGTAAGATTGGTGAATCGAAGATTCTACTACCTTCTGACATTTTCTGGAGCTTACCCAATATTATAAAAACCTTACCGATTCTGGTGAATTTTGTTTGTCATAATACATTTAAAAGGCTTGACTTTTTGGAGTTCTTTGACTCTTTAGTTATTTACAACATCGAAACTAAAATGCTTATCTTACCTAACATGATGGTTTGAATTAAAGGATTCCACAAGTACACCCACCTACAGACTTCGGTTCATTTGCTATCGCGTTTCCCTACCTCACCCAACCAAGCAAAGCCGCTTTGGCTAAGTGGGCTCTCTCAATAGAAAAATTAGTAACATTCATGTCGTTAACCATTGTAACTGGTATATTTTCTGTGCCCACCTCTCACGACTAGCGAACTCGATCTAATTTACATTTTTCGCCTCACGATAAACAACGATAAAATGCTACCTACATAGAGCAAACAATGTTGTGGGACGTTAGTATCGTTGTGGGATAGGTCTAGAGGGTATACAATCTACAGCCTAGAACCTAGGGTCTCTGTGCACGTAGTCGACACCCTCCCGACGGCCACGCCCGTTATTATAATGTTGATAGATGTACCTACATATTGATAGTTTACTTTTTATCTATTCCAGAAAAGGCAAATGGTTCCCAGGTATAACAGAAATATGTATATGTACCGCGTGATATATAATATATTTTTAAATTTATTAATACTTTTTTAAGGTTATAAAAATTGAAAGTTCTTTAGACAAGCTTTGGAAGTTAAACGGCCGAGTACCTCGACTCTGACACCAGTCACTCATTACACGTTACCATCAATTCTATGTGAATATAGTACTCACTGCATATTACATATTACATAATGACGATGGATTACATTACTAACACCATATATTTGTAAGGCCATATATGTATATCTCAACCCTCATAACCTTTATATCATATTTATTACATTGCCCTTTGGGGCACGCCCACCCTAACGCCCACAAAACCCACAAAACCAAAATGCATCTAGAGGAAACGCTATAGTCGAGTGCCGCGACTATGAGATACCCGTTACCGTTTTCCACAATTTTAAAATATTCATTTTGGTAGTGAAAATTCCCCAAGCGCCACCTATTGTCGGAGAAAGCATGTTGAGTAATTGATGGTGACGTTACTACCCATGTGAGGCCTTATAACTTAAATTTCTTCATAAATAGCGAAATAATGTTCTGATTTGAAAAATCTTTGCTAAATCGATAGATATTGACAAAAATATGTTATACAAGGTCAACGAAAACATACACTATAATATTATGGACACCACAGTTTTCCGCGGTTTGTGGGCGTGGCCGGATGAAAACTATGTGCAAGTTCCAGTGGCATTTTTTAAATACGTATTCTTAAGCACAACTTTCTAGCTCTTATTGTTCCCGAGATTTTCGCATTTTTGGTTTTTCGGGTTTTGTGGGCATTAGAGTGGGCGTGGCTTGATCGGAAAAAACAATACGCATAAGGGGCATCATAAAAACGTTACTACCCATGTGAGGCCTTATAACTTAAATTTCTTCATAAATAGCGAAATAATGTTCTGATTTGAAAAATCTTTGCTAAATCGATAGATATTGACAAAAATATGTTATACAAGGTCAACGAAAACATACACTATAATATTATGGACACCACAGTTTTCCGCGGTTTGTGGGCGTGGCCGGATGAAAACTATGTGCAAGTTCCAGTGGCATTTTTTAAATACGTATTCTTAAGCACAACTTTCTAGCTCTTATTGTTCCCGAGATTTTCGCATTTTTGGTTTTTCGGGTTTTGTGGGCATTAGAGTGGGCGTGGCTTGATCGGAAAAAACAATACGCATAAGGGGCATCATAAAAACCTACATGCTTAATCCGAATTTTCTAACACTTATAATTACCGAGATATCATGTTTTCTTGAAACCGTCTTTTGAGCTTGGTGGGCGTATGCGTGGGTGTTGCCGGATAATAGTACCTCTTTAACCTCAAGACTCAAGAATCTTCATGCTTTATCTTAACTTTGTATCTGTTATAGTTCCTGAGATATCAGCGTTCATAATATTATATCATTATAATATTATGGCTGCCACAGTTTTCCGCGGTTAGTGTGCGGTATTGTGGGCGGGGACGGATGAAAGTTATCGCCAAGCTGCAGAGGCATCTCTAAACGAGGATACCTAAGCCTAACTTTTTATCCTTTATAGTTCCCGAGATTTTCGCATTTTTGGTTTTCCGCGTTTTTTGCGGCTAGAGTGGGCATGGACAGATGGTGTTCAAATAATACGCATTTGTGGCGTCATTAGAAACTAAATGCTTAATCCCAACTTTCTATCACGTAGTTACCGAAATATCAGCCTTTCTACCGTCTTTCGAGCTTGATGGGTGTAAGAGAGGACGTGGCCAAATAATGGTACCATCATAAAATGCGTTGGCTTCTCAAGATTATACATATATAGAGATTTCAGCGGTTTCAGTTTTACGTGATTTATGGATCAGCAGAATGCTGAAATAAACTTGCGCTGCGTAGGGACCTCAAGAATCTGCCTGTTTATAGTTTCTGAGTTCTCAGCGTTCGTAAGGACAGACGGACGGACATGGCTTAATCGATTTCGCTATTGATTCTGATTAAGAATATATCCACTTGATAGGGTCGGAAACGCTGCCTTCTACCTGTTACATACTTTTCAACGAATCTAATATACCCTTTTACTCTACGAGTAACGTGAAATAGGTCGAAAATGCTTTCTTCACTACTTAGCTAACCTTTTGACTGAAATTTAAATTTGTAAGGATATAAAATTAGTTTTAACGGATTTTTGCTTTGCTGACAGTCAAACACAAGTCAACTACTATTGCAAACGTTTAGAAATAAATGGCGCTACAAATAATTGGCGTCTTTATATGCGGCATATGAGAAATCGCACTAAAGCAAAAGAAAGACGCCAGAAGTGCTTGTGCGGCTCTTAAAAGTAGGCAATGTCGTGGGACAGAATGGAAAAAGAAAGGTAAAATGACACATAAGTATGAGTTTTAAACCATGCACAATTAGAACCGAGGCAACAGCTATGTGTGGATGACTGCGTACTTATGTGTGTGAAAGTGATACACATACACGCAGTATCTGCTCCACTTTGAAACACAAAAGCGCGTCCGTGTGACACACTTATTTCTCCTTATCACAAACACACACACAAAGGGTGTAAGAAAGAGAACCGCGCACGTACGCTTTTCTTTTCTATTGTGTTGTCGGTAAATAAACCATCAGATCAACAAAAAAAGGCTATATGGCCAATTAACAACAAAAAACAGGACCTACAGTTTTTGCTATTCGCCATTTAATAATTAATTAAACAGAAAGTCCGAAAAGAGATTATTAAAATAATGCTTATTGATTGCGATTGTAGTTGCTTACCCTAAATATACCGCTAGAGCCCCCAACAACAACTGGTGGTCACTCTTGCTCCTGCGTTTGTGTAGATCTCATGGAACGCTTTAATGTGTGTGCGCGACGAACTCCGTGTTGCACTTGTTTTTTGGTTTCGTACATTATTCAATTGCACTTCATCTTAGCATTATGGCGAATTTTCTTCGTTTTACCTGTAGGATACCAAATGCGTTTGGTTTCAATTGATTGCCACGCTTGATTGTTTAACGTTTGTTTTAAAATCTTTTGGCCCTTGGCTAATGTGACCACAGGATGCCACTTGAAATATACCAAAAATACTAATTCCTTCATTCAATATTGCATTAAGATAAGACATCTAAGAGTGACATGAAAATCGGCCTTAGAACTGTGGAACCCCTTATTATTTAAAATTTTGGACCTAATACCGTGGCCATTTTTAAACTATGTTAATATTTTAATATTTGAGGTATATATATATATCCCTCTCAGGGCATATATAATTAATGATAAAAATATCATATTTTTAATAGAAATCATAAATACCGACCATTCACGTTTAAAGCCGCGTTCAAAATATAAAACTAATTTCCATTAAAATGGTGTAAACATTCAAACGATAACTGGGCAAATCAAATGAGAACTTAGATCCCTGACCATTATTTTTGTTGAAACTACATTTTTTCAGCTATCAATCATTATAATTCACCTTCAATAACCTTAACATTTAAATAATTAAAGAATACGTAGGACATTTTTCGGCAATCAATGTCCAATGTGCTTATATGTTGTATTTTTCTGGTAACTAGAAGTTCTTAGTATATTTTGGTATTTTAATAGTCGCCCCGCATTTTGATTATCGATGAAAATATCGAAGTTTTTAGCAATCGTTGTCGGTGTTGAAGCATTTGCATTAGAATTCTTAATAATTTTTTTTTTAAAGCGGTTTTTAAACGTGACCTCGGGTGATTGCTACGCGAGTCCCGCACTGAGGATTGCACCTGTAGAAAAAGAGAATTCTGGTCTAAGGTGTAGAGCGAGAGGGATAACAACAGAGGGATCGTAAAACGCCGGTACGTCGCCGGGGAAAAGCAACAAACATAGCAAACAAGAAGCAATAACAATGTCGTCGGCTAGGGACCTCATTAAAATAGACATAGTAAGTAAAAAAAGGAATTTAACTGGACAATACCAGTATACGTTTATCTAATAATCAGGAATGGGGCATGGAGCGCCTGGTGCGGGCCCAACAAGTGGTAGAGTTGCGGCCCTATGACATAGAGTCTTGGAGCGTAATGATTCGCGAGGCACAAACCCGTCCCATTCACGAGGTGCGCAGTCTCTATGAATCTCTGGTTAACGTCTTTCCAACGACCGCCCGTTACTGGAAGCTTTACATTGAGATGGAGATGCGCAGCCGGTACTACGAACGCGTAGAGAAACTCTTCCAACGTTGCCTAGTCAAGATCCTGAACATTGACCTCTGGAAGCTCTATTTAACATACGTAAAGGAAACTAAGTCAGGACTTAGCACACACAAGTGAGTAGCTGACCATTCTGCCCATTCGAAAACAACAACAACATTTTATTCAGTTAAAGAAGTACATCGGATTATGTACACAAGGCTTTGCACTGTAAAACCGCTTTTATAGCCAGCTCTTTTTCATACCAACTACGTATTTTTAAATTTAAGATAAAAACCAACATGAATGTTTTAATGTTTACAACAATTACTAGAGTGCCGCAACTATCAAATACCCGTTGTTACAGTTAACTAACTTACATCATCTATTGATAGAACCATATCAGGCATGTGTATTAACTTACTCTCGAGTAACGGGAACAATAATACGTTTTTGTTTCATCATAATCACGCATTTAATTAAAAACCCGAGAAACTAAACTAGTGCAATCTGAAATATATCTACAGTTAAAATAATTACTTAATATAAAGAAAATCACATACAATTAAAACATAACAATGATTCCAAAAAGTGTCTGCGTTTAAATAAATACTTAATATGCTGAAAATCACCTACATTTATAACACGGCGTACTTATAATTTATTTTTCCAGAGAAAAAATGGCTCAGGCTTATGATTTTGCGCTGGAAAAGATCGGCATGGATCTGCACTCGTTCAGCATCTGGCAGGATTACATTTACTTCCTGCGTGGCGTTGAAGCCGTCGGTAACTATGCAGAAAACCAGAAAATCACCGCTGTACGCCGCGTCTACCAGAAAGCGGTAGTCACCCCTATCGTTGGCATTGAACAGCTGTGGAAGGATTACATCGCTTTCGAACAAAACATCAATCCGATTATATCGGAGAAGATGAGTCTGGAGAGATCCAAGTCAGTTTTAAATGCAACTTCTGCTTTTATTTTTTCTGAAGTTCCACATTTTTAACTAGAGACTACATGAACGCCCGCCGCGTGGCCAAGGAGTTGGAATACCACACAAAGGGCCTCAATCGCAATTTGCCTGCCGTCCCACCCACGCTCACCAAGGAGGAAGTGAAGCAGGTGGAGCTGTGGAAGCGCTTTATCACGTACGAAAAGTCTAATCCGTTGCGCACCGAAGACACAGCTCTAGTCACCCGTCGAGTTATGTTCGCCACAGAACAATGTTTGCTGGTGCTCACCCACCACCCTGCTGTGTGGCACCAGGCATCCCAATTCCTGGATACCAGTGCTCGCGTGCTCACCGAGAAAGGCGTGCGTACTATTGTTGAAAGTCACATCATCCTTTCATTGCTTTCCTATAGTCAACCAAATAGAATGGATTTTGTCCTTTGCTCGATGGCGGGCAAAAGTCAAGATCAAAAACAAAATCAAAAAATGTCTCTTGTTCGCTTAGAAGTGTCGCCTCTCGGGTAATGGAGTACGTGGTGACGAACCTTTTCCGCTGCTTGCCCCGTTGTCCTTGGCCAGGCCGCACGCGTTTTACTCATTTGAACTAAGCCCAGATTTGGGTACTGCCCTTTCTAATTGCTTATTCCTACGTTGCAGGACGTTCAGGCGGCAAAGATATTTGCGGACGAGTGCGCCAATATACTAGAACGCTCAATAAACGGCGTACTGAACCGGAATGCTTTGCTCTATTTTGCCTATGCAGACTTTGAGGAGGGACGGTTGAAGTACGAGAAAGTGCACTCCATGTACAATAAGCTCTTACAGTTGGCTGACATTGATCCCACACTGGTAAGACCACACATTTTAAAACTGTATGAACAGAAGCTTTTATTTGAATTACTTTAGGTCTATGTCCAGTACATGAAGTTCGCTCGCCGTGCGGAGGGCATAAAGTCGGCTCGTGGCATCTTCAAAAAGGCGCGTGAAGACGTTCGGTCGCGCTATCACATTTTTGTGGCAGCCGCTCTGATGGAGTACTATTGTTCGAAAGACAAGGAAATCGCCTTCCGCATTTTCGAGTTGGGACTAAAAAGATTTGGAGGCAGTCCAGAGTACGTGATGTGCTACATTGACTACCTTTCCCATCTGAACGAAGATAACAATACGAGAGTCCTATTCGAACGCGTGCTCAGCTCGGGCGGTTTGTCGCCGCATAAAAGCGTGGAAGTATGGAATCGCTTTCTGGAATTTGAATCCAACATCGGAGATCTTTCCAGCATCGTCAAGGTTGAACGTCGCCGCAGTGCCGTATTTGAAAACGTGAGTACTTTGACTGCTTAATTTTAGATAGATCTTAAAATGTATGACCTTAAACTTTTGAATAAAGCTTAAAGAGTATGAGGGCAAAGAGACTGCTCAACTGGTAGACCGCTACAAGTTCCTGGACCTCTACCCTTGCACCAGTACAGAGCTTAAGTCTATAGGATATGCCGAGGTATGTAGCTGAAACTGAAACTTTTTTATACTTTATTTTTTTTTAATATTGGTTTATAAACTTATAATCTGTATAGTTGTGTCCCCTTGTATTTGACTGACAAAGGGTCATTGTAAGAGGGGTTCCCAGGCAATGCAAAAACTCACGTTTATTTATATATATAATACACATATGTAAATGGCATCCCGTGTTACATAGCGACGTGCGTGTTCTCTCGCTTGCCGAAGTCGACTGTCTCTGCCCTCTTTCCGCTCTCGTTCTCGCGATCCCACGCATCGTCCCAAAGTCCGAGAGCAGTCAGCTGATCGATCCCAGCTTCCGGCTTCCAGCACACTGGGACAAGCAGTTAACTTAAACGTTAGAAACAAACATAAGTAATTTTAAACGTTAGAAACTTATTACATCAAGCTATGTGACGAAAAAACTTACGTTTGTTTGGGTAAACAAATATTTAATTGTACTTCATTTAAGATGCTTCGAAAAAAAATGCTTAAACTAGTTCCTCCGAAAATTAAAAACAAGTTTATACCAAATTATTATTCGCATGGTAAAAATTTAGTGCAGGTGTTGTCTCTACTTACTCTTCGCTCCCACATCGAAATAGAAAGAGTAAGATACCTTTTATCTGTTGATCTAAGCGAGATGCATATAGTTCATAAATATTTTTTAAGTTTTGTTTAGTTTGGGAAATTTCTTACTACTAGATAGGCTAAATCCTTCCGCTATTAATTACACCCAAACTTGTAATCGTCCTGTATGTTGTTTTTTTTGTTCTTAATTAAAAAAAAAACTTAAAACAAACTTAAAAAGTTTTAACCTATTAAAGTTCTTACGCTTTTGCTAGTTTTTATATTCGATTATATTTTTATTGGTAAGGTAGAGCCAAAAGATTCGCTATCACTTAAGAATAATTCTATTATTATATAATTATCACTAATGGAGATAGCATATTGAAGAGCACGCCCTAGAACTCAATTGTTGTCTCTTCCCAGGAAACAATAGAAGTGCTGTAAGTGACAGAATCTGTCTGAACTGTCCTGTCCTGTTGATAAAGCATTTATTTTGTTTATTTACATTTGGTAACGACCCTTTCTCTACACTTTTAAATAATTCAATGCGTTTCGTCTTTGGTGGTTTCCATTCATAATACTAAAAGGCTATTAATTCTGAGGATTAGAAGACATATTATTTAATAGGCTTATTAATTCCTTAAAATATTTAAAAATTGCTTGATAAATCTCAAACTAAATGAAACCCTAAAGTGCAACCTGGAGAAGACAATATTTAATATATTAAATTAATTGAAATTTTGATAATCTAATTTTTTTAATTTCGCTTCTTCAATTTTTATATACAATTGTCGAAAAACACTAAGCATTCCACTAAAACAAATAGCTTTTCTAATAATATCGTATATAGGTTTCTTAGGTTGTAAATTCTGTTTTACGAGTATTATTCTTAAAAGTATATGTTTAATTAAAATACAATACAATTGAAAGCCGGCTTGGCGAATTTAAAAATGAAAACTTTATTTTTTGATATCAAAGTATCAAATAAAATTATTTATAAATAAATAATATTCGGATTGGAAGTTTTTTTTACCAATATTAAAAGTTTTTTTTCAATATTAAAGACGTTTAGATTGTTAAATTGAATAAGCGTGCCATAGTACGTATGAGTTATCAGTTATCATTAACGAGATTGCTCAATGTAGTAATTTAAAAAATGAATATATTAAATATATTTATATTTATGCAGAATGTGGGCATCATCCTGAATAAGGTGGGTGGTGGAGTTCAAAGCCAGAACACCGGAGAGGTTGAGGCGGACAGCGAGGCAGTGCCACCCCTTCCACGACCGGATTTCTCACAGATGATTCCATTCAAGCCACGTCCATGCGCTTATCCTGGCGCTCATCCACTCGCTGGTGGTGTATTTCCGCAACCGCCAGCTTTGGCGGCGTTGTGCGCCACCCTCCCGCCACCAAACTCCTTCCGTGGTCCCTTCGTCAGCGTGGAGTTGCTTTTTGACATCTTTATGAGGCTCAATCTGCCTGACTGTGAGGGTCCTTCAATTTTAATTGCTTTATTTATATTTACTATCATGTTCTCCTTCTTTAGCTGCACCACAACCGAATGGAGACAACGAATTGTCGCCAAAGATTTTTGATTTGGCCAAGTCGGTGCACTGGATTGTGGACACAAGTACGTACACGGGCGTGCAGCACAGTGTTACAGCTATTCCACCACGCCGACGGCGTCTATTGCCTGGTGGCGATGACAGCGATGACGAGCTGCAGACTGCCGTACCACCCACCCACGATATTTATCGGTTACGGCAGCTGAAGCGCTTTGCCAAGTCCAATTGAGAACAGCTCAGCTCAGAGATCAGATCAACAGGCAGATTTCCAATCATCTTTTAAAAAAATAATGCATTTACAACAAATACACGAAAAAAAACAGCAGAGGATTTTTTTTGCTGGAGGATTTATGGGAAAATTTGATTGCGGTTTAGCACCCTTGAAAAGGTATATGTATATGTTAGGGGTTTCAAGAGACGAAAACACTTAATATTATCAGCTATATAAACAAAAAGTAAGCAAATCGTTTTTATTTATAAATATATTTACTGACAGCCAATAAACCAATAAAATGTACAATAAAAGAAACGTAAATATTCCCAACTTTGTAAATTAAAGCTTTTTAAATAAAACCCAAAACAGGACAGAGTAAAAAATGTAACAAATGTGTTTATTTTGGAGTCATTGTTTTCTCGTACATACATTTTAAAGATAAGCCTAATTTTTATTTTAACCCTTAAAAAGTGCCCTTAAATTTTTAGTTTTGTTTATGTTAAAAGCTGGGAGAATCATTCCTCTAATACTTCTGTTGGTAGGCATCGCCTACGGTGCTTATAGAGTCCGGCGTATTGAGAGAACTTCTTGCCACAGGCTCCACATGTGTAGCGCTTCTCAGTGCGGTGGAGGTTCAGATGGGCATAGTAGGCACTGCCCACAACAAAGGCCCGGGAGCAGTACGGACACACCTTGTCACGGATGTTTAGATGGACGCGCAAATGCCGGTCCCTTTCGTGTGCCGTAAAAAAAGCCTTGTCACATCTATTGCAGGGAAAATCCCGCTGGTTCCTGTGTCGCTTGGTATGCTGATTCAATTTGCTGGCATTAACGAATCCTCGGGCGCAATGCTCGCAAACGTAGGGCAGTTCTTTGGTGTGACTCCTGTGGTGGACCCGCAAGGATGTGGAGCTGAAAAACTTCTTTGGACATTCGGTGCATGCGTGAGTTTTCTGGCCTAAATGTCGTCGCAGATGGGCCAAAAGGCTGTTTCTCAGTGAAAACTTGAGACCACAAATGTGGCATATGTTTGCCAGGTCATGATCCTGTTGCAAATTCTCCTGAAGGGATTTCCTACCTTTACGCCGTCTCATATAGTAAAAATCACCGTTCAGTGATTTATCCACGTCGCCATGGACATTCTTTTCATGCTGCAGGTAATCTGTACGTCTCTTAAAGGACTCTGTACAACTGAGGCACTGAAAGGGCGCCACGTGAAGTTCCAAGAAGCGTAGCTGTTCATAATACTCATAGTTTGGGATCCACTGCTCAGATTTCTCATGGGCCGCAATTCGGGCCTCCTTGCAGTGGCGATACTGGCATCGAAATTCTATAAGGCGACTCTTCAGGCGTTCCACCGTCATCTGCAGATTGAAATCTTCCTGTAGTCTGCTACACAAGGATTCCAATTGCCGCTGTCGCTGCTTCCGTTTCGTATAATCAGGATGATCGGTGCACCACAGCTGCGCATATGCCTGGTAAGCGGTTATGATCTTGAGATTGCTATCTCGCTGATTAAGGCTTTTCTGCATTTCGGAGCTAATGGGCAATACGTCATCTAGAAAGCGAAACTCCTCAAACAGGTTCCATTTGGAATCCTTATCCTCCTCCTTTATTTGCCTTTTCCTCTCTTTGCGATAGTACTTGGTGTAATCCGTGATTTTTCGGTGCAAAATCTGCCAGCTGATTCGTTGTCCAGTTGTATTTAGGTTCAGTTCCCCCGAAATGGCATTCCATGCAAGTTTTCGTTGTCTTCGGGAATGGTAGTCTAGATGATTGGGATCCCACAGGCACGCATGGAATCGATATTGTCGGACCAGATCTTGAGCTTGTTGAAGAGTCAAACGAAAACGTGGTCCCCTCTCAAAGGTGTCGCCCTCAATTAGGTTTAGGGGGGTGTGTAGATCGTAAGGATCTTCCAATTGGGCAGCGGCACAGGCATCAGATAGATTTGGCATTCGAGAATCCTGGACATCTCTTAAGCCTATTCTATTCTCTGCAAGGTCCTTCAAAAATTTGATGTTTTCAAGGGGTTCCTGAAGTCTTTCCTTCAAAAGATTCATCGATTGTTGGCTCACTTTTTCAACTAGGGTTTTCTCCTCATTCAACATATCCGCCAAATGTTCCTTAAGTTCCTGATTTCCCTCCGAACCATCTACCTTTTTTTCCATTTTTATCACTCCACAGGTATTTTGAACATGTGTTTGGTGTCCCACCAGATTCTCAAAGATCTTTCCGCACACAGCACACACATAAGGGTCAATGTGCTTGTGCAGGAACTCCATTTCCGCGTAGTGCTCAAACCCGGATACAAACTCCGACTGTTTTTCCTCTACTACGCTTTGCAGATAGCACATCTTCTCCAGGCGATAGCGTTTTCGCAGCGATTGCAAACGTCGCTGAATGACCACGGGCGATAGGCTAATCCCCGAGAGTTTTAACGCCAACTGGAGACCCAAGAGAGCGTCTTGTCGCTGGCGTACGGTCTCTGCGCAACGCATCCGCTTGTGTGCGTTGTGCCACAGGACTGGGTAGTGCTCGTAAAACTCCAGAAGACGGCTGTTCTCCCGGGCATAGTGGCGTTGCCGTTTTAACAGCGATTGCTGTTCAGATAGGAAGTTCAGTTGATCAAAGTGTGCAAACTTTGCATTTTCATCCAGTTCGCCATCCGCTTCCAAACGCTCCCTTTGCTTAATAAATCGCTGACACAGCGTCGATACCCTGATCCGAACTTCCGTCATGCTAAAACTCCGACCGCAGTAGGCACTCCAGGCTTCTGTGATCCGACTCCAGGATTGGCGACACAACTCCATGTTGTGGAACTCCTCATGCGTCTGATTCCAAAGACAAGGCTCAGATCGATAAAGGTCGATAAGGCGGTTCACATGTTTCGTCGTAAGTCGCTGGCCCTCTGGAACAGGTGAGATCTCCTGGGAATGGATGTTAAAATCAGTGTTAGGATGCAAGAGCAATAAATTATGGTTTTTAATAATATGTGTTTTAAAAGATTATTTTCCTAATATCCCTAGAATTCTCTGCATACAAATTTTTTAGATCCCTGAGGATGGAAACTTTACTTTAGCAGCCAGCCATCCCCATTTCAACGCCAATAAATCGCGAAAAACCATGAAGTTTACAATATTATTAAACAAAAATTTGGTTTGATCTTAATATTATTTCTTTGTCAGTAATGTTTCGTAATGATTGACAATGTTTTTGTAATTAAAATTTTAATTTATACCAGCATCAGACTGTTTTTTGCGAATTTCTGTTTACAAAAAGTCAAATAGTGTACAAAATATGTATCAGATTTCCTACTGCCAGAAGAAATTACTCAAAATGGATGAGGTTGCTGAATACTCCGGTTGGAGATTTAATAAGGGAGACATCTATCAACCACAACAGCTACTGCCCTTATTAGAGATTTTAGCTTTATTGGGATTTTGCACAAGTTCTGCAATATTATTCTTTTTATAGAAGTCACTTACCTGCACAGTAGAATCGGGAATAGGATAAGTTTTTATTGCTGCATCCCAGGCATCCGCTGATTCTTCCGATGTACCGATCTTTACATTTTCCAAATTATCTTTATCAGTTTGTTTCTCTCCTTCAATAACTGCAACTATCTCTGCCTTTGCTACCGCATCCTTCGCAACGGCATTTAATTGCGAGACAAGTTGCTGCTTAAGTTCATTGTCCTCGCCGTTCGTTCGTTGCTCCGCTAGCACCTCCTGCATAAGCTCATCCTCGGGAACGCCACCCGATTTGGTTTCTTCGAAACTATTAGCTTCGGGGGCCTCCCAATCGGAATGCCATACGAACATGTGCTCCGGAAATTCGGAAAGCGCGCACAAAGGACGCTCCTCGCACAGGGAACACTCGACGCCATAGAGTTCGCCAGCACAATTCCACGTGTAAACTCTGCCGCACTGCTGACGCATCCCCGCAATTACCCTGCGCAAGTGGAAGTACTTTAAAAATAAAACAAGAAGAAACCTGTGTCATGTTACTTGGTTAGCGTTCTCTTTTCTAGTTTTTCTAAACCTTGTTCATACACACACACGGAGAGGCGGACTCAGCTTTTGACCCTGATCAAGATTACTTCTACCTCTTACACACTTCTCAACGAATTCATTATACTTTTACTCTTCGGCGAACAGGTATAATAATAATAAGCTTGCAGATTGTATTCCTTCAAACGTCATTGTTTACATTTGGTCTTACTTGACATTAATATGATTTATGGTGTTAACGCTGAATAATTTCAATTAGAATGATCAATATGACTGCGAATGTTTACCCTGAGGAATTTCATTTCAAAAAGTTGCTTACTTGATCATTTCATGGACTATAGTTCGGTAATGGGGTTTTCGAGTAGAGCATATTTATGATCTTGGACCAAATATAGTTTATACATAATTACATTTGTATGTACATATGTATATAGGATAAGGCCATAATCAAGGGTTGGATAACTCCCCACATTCTTAGATGGATCATACTAATTCATTTGGAATTTTAGAACTGAAACTCAAGTGATTTGTCGATTCGATTGGTATGTTTATGTTATATGTAATACACATTAGCGTTCTATAAGAGGTACTGCTATTATTTCGTGTTCGACTTAAGACATTTTCTACATAGGCCATTGCACTGGCTTAAATACAAAAGTATGGACATACTCGTACATATGTACATATATATGTATCTACTTTAGCAGAGACTTTGTAGAAGTCTCACGTTCTGGGAGAGAAAAGATATAACGCTTCTTAAGTATGCTTACCTGTGGGCTCCTTCGAGGGCGGTTTCACTTTTAAAGCCGATCGAAAATAAAAAGCAGACAACAATAACAGCAGCCGTAATAACGTCTAACGCAGTGCAAGGTGTAATCCCCGAGCAACTGAAGCGGCGACTACGGCTGCGCGGCGATTTTGAGTTGAATTGGACTCCAGTTGCGTTGGCATGAAAATTTAATCGACTGAAATCGGCGTCTTAGGTTGTAAAATGGAAACGCCAATAGAGGAGGCCGAAGAAGACGGTGAGAGCTGGGGCAACAAACTCGAACCTGGCGCATTAAAATAACAGTCACACATTTGGGTACACACAATCCTACATTGGCATCTGCGTCTACTTTTGTCTCAAATTCATGGGCGTAGGTAAGGGGTAACCTCGAGAGAATTAAATTATGATATGTTAAGAAATTTTACAATGATCAGTTTTTCATATTTAATGAAAATAAATTTGCAATGTAACTGTAATACTAAATAGTAGTTTGTGTTATTCTTTCAAACATAATTCGGCGCTTCTCTGATAGCTATCGCTTTAAAATTATGATTTTTCGTAAATAATATTTGTTTTATTAGGTAATATTTTATTTTCCATAAATGTTTAGTGTCAAAACAGTCTTTTCTTAAAATTCTTTTTAAATTCTTCGACCTATTGACGGTATTAAAATTGGCTACGGCCATGCCCGTTCAGCTGTAAGGTCCCGTTTTTAGCCAATATGCTTTGCTTCTCACCTCTTCAGTTTAAACGTGATCGCTTTTGTGTGTGCGTGTGAAGAGCAGGTAGCACAATGCTGTTGCAAATAAGGGTAAATATCGATACAGGACTGTTAAAAAAGATTGATTTACTTGAATTAAATTAAATTATACCTTGATTTTTTAAAAACCTTGAATTGAACTACAACCGGGTAGCTTACTTTGGGAACACATTTTTTACTTCTAACAAAACCAAAAAGAAAAGGCGAATTTTTCTTAAAAATCACGTTGTAAGGGGCTTGTAAGGAAATAAGCTACTATTTTGATATTGATAATTTTTTTTAGTACTCACAGTTCTAGTAAAATACATAATTTGAGCGCATGTGAAATTTGTTGTTATATCAGTCAGTTTTATTTAAAAAAATATAGTTAATATTAATATATATTATAAATAATTTAAAATTTCTTATTAAATAAATACATTTTTTAAAATGAATTTTGTTAATCTATCGATAATATTTAATAAAGTCTTTGAACTAACAATCGATAGAATTAGCGATTGTTGGGCATTATCGGTTCACTCTCGATTGCAGACAAACGCCATCCAGTATATGCTAGCGATAGTTTTTTTTGCCATACCTATGCTTTTGTAAAATTATTAAAATATGGCCTATTTAGAAGTAATATATATGTATGCATTGCTTTCTTAAAACGGTGGCTATGGTGCGTAATTAAAAACTCCTTTAAACCAGAATCGTCTAATTCAAGGTAAAAGTCTGATACTCCCCACACTCAGTACATTAAGTACAGTCAAACCGGACTGTAGTTACTTCAACTGAGATCCAACCATATAAATGTTAAGAAAGGAGGTAAAAAAAACTGTATAGTGAGGCTTAACTTATGTATTTGATCATTTGAAACTATTTCATCTTGGTTTTGAAGCTCATGGCCCAAATTCCGCCATGTTATGAGCTTATTCTTTTGCACATATTTAACACATATTATAAAATCCTTTTAGCCTAATTTGTATATTTTTTAATTTTATCATAACAGTGCATAAGAACAGCTATGGATTTTATTTCAGATTTAAAAACCGCCAAGATGTCAGATTTAAGAAGTTGGCAAAAAAAACACCATAATGAAATTGTAGTTCCTAATATTATTATTATCAAAAACGTAATTAGAGATTTTAATTTCTTGTTGGCTGTAATTTACTTACTATTTTTACCATTATTAATATGTTTGTGATTTTTCTATATATAAACCAAAACTGTATCATTGCATTTTCAAATATGATGTCGAAATATCGAATGTAATACCAATTTAAAAAAAAGGTGCACAAACATTGAAAGATTGCACATAAAAAAGTATATTTACTGTAAGCATGGGTATTTTTGGTATTTTTCTTGGAACTTTCCGAGAAGAGTCCCCCTTATACACATTTATTTTTAACATACAGACAATTATACAAAAGAAAAATATAAGTCAATTTAATACGACACTTAAAATGTTTCGCTATTTAATGTATGTTTGAAATAAGTTTAAATTTGAAAAAAATTTCGGCGGTATTTATAAGATAGTAAAGATATCTTCGACTTCGAAAGACTCCGATACTTAATCGGCACTATCGACTGTGCCTTATCCGGCCGATAACAAAACAAAAACAAAAAAAAACATAAAAACATAAACATAAACAAATACAAGCACAAGGAGCGAGCGAAACGAAACTACGACATGGGTTTTCCGCGCATCCTCAGCAAGAACAATAAGATCTACACTAAGCTGGGCGAGTTTTGTTTGTCGGGAGATAGCTTCTGGATTGTTTGCCACACGTGCCAAGAAGAGCTGCAGACCCAGGATCAGTTTTGGAAGCACATACAGGATGAGCACAACTTCTTGCACGGGGTTACCAAGGTAGGTTGTGTGTTATTTTATTGGTAGAGCGCTCACAATTCCTACCCTCTTTGCAGCAGGAGCACAGTCGGACCTCCAGCTACTGCCTAACGGATGTGGAAGCTGCGGCGACGGTGGCCACTCCCGGTGGTAGCTCACAACAGGGCGCGACGGCGGTTAATGTGCCCCTGGCCCTGTATCATTGCTCTACCAAGTATTCTGACGAGGAACAGCGTGAGGTGGAGTTGCATGAGCAGCAGGTTCAAGTACAGCAGGTGCAACAGCAGGTACAACAGCAGCAGCATGCACAACAGCAGCAAACGCACCAGCAACACCAAGCTGAACAGCAAGTTCATGAGCAACTGCATCAACAGAGGGATGTGTCCAAGGAGCTGGTCGAACTGCATGCCAATGCAGTGGCAGCTGCCGCAGCTGTGGTTTCTACTGGTGAGGAACGCACCCGAAGCAATAGCGGGGTCGATATCAAGATAGAGCCCGCCAGTCTCTCATTAACACCCGAAATGCAGGCTGCTGCAGCGGCTGCCGGGACCATTTACCATCTGCCGCAGCTAGTTCCAGCATCTGTACCGCCTCCGCCGCCCACATCAGGATTTGTCAGTGTTAGCGCCAATACCAGCACCTCCAATACCGTCAGTAACACGCCGCCTAATGTGGTCCAGCAGCAACAGCAGCAGCTCAACATGTCTGTAGTTCCTTCGACGGCAATGGCTGCCGCTATTCTGGTCGCCAGTCAAGAGCAGCTGCCTAAGGACTCTAACAGCACGACGGCCAGCGCCGGAAGCGCAGTGTCTTCGGATGACGGAGAACGCTGGTACGTTTGCGACTACGAGACATGCGGTCTGAAGTTCAAGTACAAGTCCAGAATGGAACTGCATCGGGTCGTGCACAGCAAGGAGCGGAGGTTTAACTGCGAACTCTGCAGTGCCTCCTTTAAGCAGTCGTGCAACTTGTCCACGCACCGGAAGAAAAAACACGCGCTAAGAGGCATCAAAAGCGAGATACTGCCGCAGCGCTTTTAAGTTGTAGCTTGTACAGCTCCAGGCTTAGTATCCTCCATTTAACACTTGTTTAGCTCACTGTAAAGCGAGACAGTCAGTAGGACTAGATTCTAAACGGAACCCCTTATTAGCCCTTTTCCATAATTTCAAACTAAGTTTAAAGGTAACTGAAAAACTGAACTGCTACATGCCACACGAATAACTAATCTTTTGAATTATTTCGTTTGGCACGGCGATTACACAGAATCCCAATATTTACAGTCTTACCTAATTGGCTATCGCTATATTTAAAATGCTCTTTATAAGGTTATAGGGTAGATATCCTGTGACCCCAAGATTCGAATTTCGGATGATTGCTTTTAAAAGGGATATTTGAGGTACTTCTCTACAAATCTAATTGTAAATTTAAAACTTTCCCACTGCAACACTTATAGGAGGCAAGCGTTCTATATATATTTATATATATAAATATTATTTGTATCTAATGTAGGCTTAGTTCCCCTTGTAAATGTAATGTTAATGTTTTAGCGGGGTTATGTTAACCTCTCATTAACTTTTACGCTCTAGATGTACATGCAATATTTTATATACAGGGGGTCTCAAAAATCTCTAAAGATTTTTGAATTGAAATGCAAACAAAAATCGGTCGGTGTCTTAGAGCTTGTGGAGTTTTTACTGTTTTACAGAAAATTTATTTTGATTTTTGCCAATTTTTAGTTGATGAGATTTCTACGACACCTCGATTTGACTGGTCGAAATTAGGTTAGAGGAGATTGCTGAGACCCGGATAGTGGCTAAGACAGTGACCAGTTTAACAGGTTATTCTTCGTCAGTTGTTCAGTTGTAACATTCAATAAATATAAATGTTCTGAGTCTATAACGGTACCGGTGGTATATGTTTCATAAGATCAATCAATCAAAAGCAACCAACCAGAGCATTAAAAGCAAACCCAATTGAAAACGAAAATACATAAAGAATACCTTACAAGATGTTCTTAATTCGAGTTTTTTATATTTGTGGGTGGCTCTACTTGTGTGAGTGTTTTAATGTGTTTTGTGTACATGTCACATGTCTAATATTCCTAATAAAACTCTTGACATACGGTCATCAAATGGTCACCTTTACAAGTCTTATCCAAGCCTCCAATTGAAATTCATCGCGATCCTAAATTTTGGCGTTGGCAATGCAGACAAATTCATATGTGTGTATATTATTTTTTCTGATAATTTAGTTAACAAGAAGGAATTTACTTTACTTTTCTAAATAAACATGCTATTACCATATGATGCAACACGGTACAAATGGCTGTGCCTTTTACATTAAGTTTTTAATACCTTCTTAAGCAATTATATGATTCGATTATTGGTATGTTGACCGGTAGATATATATATGTACATTAAATATTGTAAATTAGTACATGTACATATATTTATACATATAAAGGTCAATTAAAAGTTCCCAGCCGGACACTAGAATTACAGCTGTTAAATAATTTTTTATGAAGCACCTTTTGTTATTGTCAAAAAGGCATTAAAAGGAGTTTCGTGTGTTGATAAATGATTTTTTGAAGGGAATACAGAAAAACGAGGTGAACGTCGAGGAAAAGTTATAGATATCAGATATCGTTCATGTTAATCACGTTTATTTGGGTATGGGAATGCTCTGTATTCTACATGCAATCTTTTTTTGTCCCAAAAAAAACATACATATGTTTAGATATGAACAAGCGTAGTAAGGCTGAGATATTGCGTTGGGCTTCAAAGCGCCTGTATTTTAGGATACGCAAGGAATAATTTTTATTGACTTTTATGACATTGAAAAAGGATGGACTATAAATAGCGACTATAACGTGGCTAGCCGTTGGCTGATTTATAAACGCCTGTATTTGGATATGTATCCAGTTTAACTTTCATGCTATCTCAGCCATACCGTCCCATTGTTTTAATGTTTAAAACTATGTCGCCTTGTCGGATTTCTGTTCTATGTTTAGGCCTTGCAGAAGCTCGTTGTTTTGGCATCTGGTAGTGCAGTCTTCAGCAGGGGCGCTTGCCAAGGTGGCAGCTCTGGAAGCGAACAGCTGTGGCTCACCCTTGCGCTTTTGATGACTGATTCAGCTGGTTACCTCATTCGATTACACATTGTGAATAATAAACATTCAGAGGGAAATTGATAACACCAAGTCTATATTCTGGCAGCAATACTGTTTTTACCATCCGGTAGTGGTACTAAACAGAACTGCAAAATCTCTAAAAAAAAAAAAAAATCTCTCTTTTATTATAGAAATAAAAGCTTTTTTAGAAATAGTTGTGAGAAAATGTACAGATAAATTACAAAAATGATAAAATGAAAACAAGAGGAAACGCTATAGTTGAGTGCCGCGACTATAAGATACCCGTTACCGTTTTCCACAATTTTAAAATATTCTTTTTGGTAGTGAAAATTCCCCAAGCGCCACTTATTATCGGAGAAAGCATGTTGAGTAACTGATGGTGACGTTACTACCCTTGTGAGGCCTTATAACTTAAATTTCTTCATAAGTAGCGAAATAATGTTCCGATTTAAAAAATCTTTGGTAAATCGATAGATATTAACAGAAATAAGTTATACAAGGTGAAATGTTTACATGGCAGGATCGCCATGAAATGTAAAACAGACTTGTTGTACTCGGTTTTATTCTTTATTTCAGGGAGCAGCAATGGTGCCGCTCCCAGGCTTGAATTGAATGTGTTACAATATTCTTTTAAGTCTAATTAAGGCTAAGTCTCGTTGCTGCGCTGCTCGCAGGCGGCGGCAGAGAGACGGCTATCTATGTACTTAAGTATATAAACAGATGCCCTCTTATGTGAGGAGCGCGAGGGGTATGCACATGCGGTCCGTTCATGCAATTATGCCGACGCTAGCACTTTCTGCGAGTAGCCTAAGCCATAGCGATCGGTTCATATTTCGGCCACTTGGGGTTTATGACCGGGACCATGAATTATGTAAACACTGCAACAAAGTGTTACAGTGCGTACCCTTTAAGAACTCGGTACAGTGGGTATTCAATATTAGTGCATTCTACATCTCCCTCCTTTTGAAAAATAACGTAATATTATGAAGTTATTTTGAAAATAATATTTAGTTAGTAAAAATTTGTATGTGTAACTATGCATGGCCATACTAAGTACAATTTATGAAATAAAGATTTTTAATCTATCTTTATGAACTGTTTGTTTCTTACTCTTATTATTTGTTATTACTATGTTATCTCTATCTCTTAATTTCTGATCATATAGTAGTTTATTTCTATTCTTATTTGCTTCTAACATAACTCTAGTTCTACTCTCCTTAGCATAGTCATCTATATTATATATTGTTTCTACGCTATCTGTGCTATTAAAGTGTTTCTGTAAATTACCAGTAATAGTGTCTTCTTACTTTGGCCAAAGTTTTTGATAAGCCAGTGTAACCTCCTTGAATTGGATCATCATAAAATTTAGACAGAATAGCTTCTTTGTCTTTTAGACTTTTTATTTGGGTCACCGGGTTGAGTAGCGCTACTCTTAATGTTTTCAATATTTTATTGCCCATTACTTTGAAATTATCTATTGAAGTATGGTCAAAGGTATTTTCACACGGTGCCATTTTGGCTGATTTTATTTATAGCGGGTTGCAGTTCGAGCCTTTGGAAAAATGGACCTAAGTCTAGGATTCCATTGGTATATAAATCGCTAACATCATATCTTGCAGTAATTTTCCTGCCATGTTTAAATAAACATAACATATCTTTTACATGCAATGTCACTATTTTACGTACTCCGTCATTGTTTATGACGTCGTATACGTTGGGCTTAGAAGCTTTTTCAATAGTTTGCTTAGGCAGTTCTATTTCTTTATTTTCCGCGCGGATTTTCTGTCTATTTTGATATCTTGTAGTGACTTTATTGATATTTCCAGTTATATTTTGTAGATCTTTGATTGTTATTCTTGATAACGCATCAGCTACAAAGTTATCTTTTCGCTTCAGATATTCTTCAGTGAAATTATATTCTTCCAGCTCAAGTCGCATACGCGTTAGCTTAGAGCTTGGATTAATCATTGAAAACAGGTAAGTTAAAGGTCTATGATCAGTCTTGACAGTAAAATGTCTACCATAAACATATGGTCTGAAATAAGTTATTGCCCAATGAATTGCTGTCAATTCTTGTTCTGTTGTACTTTTATTACTTTCGCCCTTAGTAAACGATCTTGATGCATAAGCAACTGGAAGTTGAAGTCCATCATGGTTTTGAGCTAAAACCGCTCCTCATGCTTGCTTACTTGCATCCGTTATTATGCAAAACTCTTTGCTGAAATCTGGGTATTGTAATAAATTCGGATTTATTAATGCCGATTTAAGGTGTTCAAAGGCATTCTGGCAATCAATTGTCCATTCGAATTTAACATCTTTTTTACATAATCTTGTTATGTGACGAGAATATTCGGCAAAATTTTTTATGAAACGTCTATAATAATTGCAAAATGCAACGAATCTTCTAGCGCTGTCCGCATCATGAGGGACTGGGTAATTCTTGATGACGTCGTATTTTTTGTCATCTGGCAAGATTTCTTTATCAGTGCATTTATGTCTCAGAAAAGTGACTTCATGCATGAAAAATGAGCATTTTTCAGGATGTAACTTAAGGTTGTATTCCCCACATTTCTCAAAAACATCAGTTAAGTTTTTAAGCATATGTTTTTCGGAACAACCTATAACTATTGAGTCATCCATATAAAGGAATGCTTGTGAAGGTTCTAATCCAGAGAATGCAATAGTCAGCATCCTCTGAAATGAATTAGGCGCTATTTTTAAACCGAAAGGTAATCGTGTGAAACGATACGAGCCATTGCTCGCTGAAAATGACGTTATATCTCGTGAACTTTTTTCAAGTTTAATTTGATGAAAGCCAGACATTAAGTCCAGACATGAGAAATGTTTCGCTCTTCCTAGTTGATCCAAAATATCATCAATTCTAGGTAGCGGGAGTTTATCCGACAACAGTTTTTTATTAATCTGACGATAGTCAATTACTAATCGCCATTTTTTCGTATCAGATCCGGGGAGTGATTTCTTCGGAACTAATAACAGTGGGCTGTTATAGGCTGATACAGACGGTTCTTCTATTTTATTGTCTATTAGTTTTTGTACCTGTATGTTAATTTCATCCTTTTGACTATGTGGACTTCTATAATTTGTTATGTAAACCGGTTCTTCATCCTTCAACCCTAGCTTTTGCTTGTAGAAATTGTTTGTAGTTATTGATTCGGTTTCGATTCTGAATATATCACTGTACTGTGTGCATAAATCAGTTAATTTTTGCTTGAACTGGGGTGGAAAATTTTTGGATAATTGAGATAAGACAGTTTCTTCTCTATTTTCTGGATTGTTTTGAACTATGGCATAGTTCGAAAGTGGTTCATATTTTAAACTGTGAATACTTACTATTTGGTCAGTACCGGTTGTATTCAGTAATCGGACAAATGCATTTTTGGTTGTTGCGACTGTGTTCGCAACATAAATGCCATGTTGAATTTCCTGATTAGGTATTAGTATACATTCTTCATCTGATGATAGATGAATCTTTCTGACCACTTGAGATCTTGCTGGTAGAATTATGGAATTATTACCAGAACTGTATGTTATAGGAACATAAATTGGAAAATTCAAATTATTTGGTCTTAGGATAAACCAATCTTCATTATGATTGAAGTCTAGTTGACAATTGAATTTCTTTATGAAATCAATGCCTATTATTCCATCACATGGTATTGCGAAACACAAATCTACTATATGAAAATCGTGTGGAATTATATATTTATCTTTCTGTATCTAGAGGGAAATTAAGCCTTTTGATTGAATTAGCTCTTGGCCCATGCCTTGAATGTTTATTTTATTGTCTTTCTGCATATCACGAAGGATATCAGAATTTTCTTTTAAATTAAGAATACAAGTTTTTTGTTTGTTTCTGTA